GGGGGGGGGGACGAAAGGGAAGTAACCAAGTTTTCCGGAACTTTCCTTATTCACCGAGCATGTGTACCGGCGGCAAGAAGAGACGTGGAGAAAAGTGAGCGAGCGGGGGGAAACTAATCATGACCTCGAATTCAATCGCGGGATTTCCATGGAATCACCGTTCGCACGCGGCCGCCTGCAGCCGTGCGCGGATTCGCGCGGCTCCTCGGCTTTCCTAATATTAATTTCAATCTGCATAAATGCATAATAATAAATTCAATAGGCGGCCCCCTCGCGGATGTGCGCGCGATGTCGCCGAGTCGGATATTACTTAGGGCCTTCGGAAAATTTCTGGTCGTGACCGCCGCCCGTCTCGCTCGGGATCGACTTCTTTTTCTTTCGGGAGGGACACGAAGAGAGACCCGCCGTTCTCCGTCGCAGGACGATTATGAAGACGGTTTTTTCCCGGCCGAAAGATATCACGGGGAGTTAAAGGAGGTTAAAGGAGGCGAAAACGAGGGTTGCCAGCGAGATGTATACACGAGGTAGGGAAATATGGGGCAAGATGGGATCGAGGAGCAAGACGAAAAAACGCTATATAGAAATAACTACGCAGCTGTATAGACTCGGTCTTGCATGTGTAAAAGAAAGAGAGAGGCGAGTCGACGTGTTAGTACGCGATGAACAATAACAGGGGCTATGTATGTCATAAGTTCGAGCGAGTTTTTGCGGAAACCAGTAAATCTGATGTAATTTTATGAATTATTGGACGCTGCGTTGGATAACTTTGTTTGTGATACGATATTAAAAGAAGTAATTCACACGTGATACGATGTTATATTTTATAGTAGATTAGTCTTTTGTATTAACTCAATTCCCTATTCTACGAAACGTTCGTAATTTCACACCTGCCACTTGGGACAAGAAGGAGTCAACTAAATGGTGCAAGATGGGGATGTTCCTACATTATCCTAATAATTTTCATTTCTGTTAAATATCATTGCTATATCTTTAAATAACTTTATATCACCCTGCTGATATTATTCACAGCATGTATTGCACAGGCCTATATTTAGAGTTTATGAAAGACTAGCTTGTCAAATGCATCGGGCATGTGAATCTCGTTGCGGGATTTGACATGAAGGAAAAAAAGTAAGATTTATTTGTGATTTATATGCCAATGATGACAGAAATCATTTTACCTTCAACTATTTTATCTTATCCTCAACACTATCAACCATCTTACCCCGTGTAGTGGAATAAGATAAGGTTAAAAAAACCTTTTGGAAGGAAAATTTTATTTTACCTTTTATTTTGCTCAATTTTGTCACATTACGTTAAAGTTTGATAATTGTTGATTATGGAAACATCGATAAGTGTCGCGATTAATACAATCCCGCTTTTATTAAGATGTTCCAGTCTTACCCCGCATTCTCCTACGTTCGAAAAGTGCTTTTGACAACGGTGGAATTTCACATTCGTTGAGTTGTGTACTCGAATTCTGTTTTCGACGTCTGCTTCGCGCGCCGACGTCTGCTTCCCGACCTTTGCGAATCCGCGCGAAGTGTCGGTGAAATTGCGGCGAAACACCTGACCAGCAGCAGCAGCAGCGAGCTGTCAGTTGAGGATAACGTCGAGGGAGCGAGCGAGCGAGCGAAGCGATTCGTCCTCGAGTTTGGAAGCCATCCTTTCAAGCTCCGTCTCGTGCTTTGACTCTTAAAGACACTGCGATGTGTAGGTAATTGTTACTCCGTCATAGGGTTGATTATAGCAATTTTCCCTGCTTCGCCCAACTTCCCTCGCGCCCGTCTCTTTATAACTCCGCGCTTGCCGGCATGGAAATTAGCTTCGGGCTCGTATCGCGTTCGACAAAGACCGGCGAGATTGCCGTCGCGGAATAAAAGCGAGGGGTAATATTTCAGTTGTTCCGTTATACTTACGGTCTCGTTATTTTATCCCGCGACGCGAGAACGCGGATCTCTCGCAAAGTCCCCGCGATTGTCGCCGATAGCGAGGAATTTCGAGACGGGAAAAATCGCGTAAAGAGAAACGTTAAACGCACGCATACGCACGCGCATATATACATATGCGGAAAACGAGCGGCACAGGCGGAGAGCGAAAGAACAATTGTCGCGTTTCACCGATTTTTGATGGTTTCTTTTATTTTAAACCGGGATTGGCCCTCGAACCTCATTAAAATCTACCGGCTGAAACTACCGTTTTTTCAGTAGAAGAGAAGGCGGTATTACGGTATCCCATTTACCTTTCGTACAATAACCTTGTGAATAATCAACATTTTTAATTGAAAACTTAATGATTACATTCGTCAAAGTGTTGCTCGATTGATTCTAGACTGAAAGTTATGAAATATTTGTTACTTAGGACGTTATTTATAAAAAAAATGTAGCGACACTGCATGATGAGTCGAGGAGGAACGGGGGTCGTAATGTAACTCTTCGCTAAGATAGATTTAGAAAATGGTTTTGTTTAAAGAAGTGTTTCGTTACAAATTTACATAGTTATTCAAAATAAACTCTTAGAAGGCACAATGAGTATAATCGTGAATTTTTAATGTAGATACTGACTTATTTGTTAGAAGGTAGATAAAAACTGTCAAAAGGAAAGTTTTTTGCAAAACAAATAGATTTTTTAACTTAACTTGAATTATTGACTTGCTGAATAACTATTTCGACATGAAAACTTCAAGAAAAAGGCCGTATTAAATCTACTTTAGTGAGGAGCCAAATTAGCGAAAGGCTATTATTTAATTTTGCATAACTCAAAATGTGCACAGCGGAATAAAATGTTAAATGACGAGCAAAACTCACACAGCGTACATATATTCGTGTGATAATACGTCCGAGTTTAAGAAGAATGTGGAAGTATGTGTGATTAAATGCTAAGATGTACCTTGAAAATGTTTCGAAAAGTTTGAAA